TGGGAACACAGCCAGGGTCTGGGCATGCTGCCAAAAAGACAGGCTAGCACTGCTAGCCATGCTCCAGACATACTGCAGCCTGAGGACCTGGACCTTTGTGCTCTGCCCTGCTCCAGTGGTTTTGGCTAGGCTGTGCCACAAACTATGCCTTGTACTCATAGCAACCTAAAGATCCATGCCATCCCTTTCCTCTCACCTCCCTTCACCCCTCCAGCTTACCATTATCATTGCAGAAATCACATGCACACACTCACAGAAGAACCAGCCATTGTTTTCCCTAATCAGAATTGCTTGAATTAAAATGGGGGAAAAAGTCAGTAAAATGAAGTCAGTTGGAGTAGTTTGCAGCTTACATCTATGTCTAATACTTAATCAAAAAGTCATTGATTGTGCATGGGATTTCTGCTAATACTTCAAAAGCTGAAAAACTGGAACTGAACTTTAGCCTGAAGTGGTACAGTAACATCCTCCAGACGCTTCTTCTCAGATGGAAGGATTATCTTTTGGCCCTCCATAGATTGCTGCTGTTGTGCTGAAAGAGGGAGGGACAACTCAACAAGCCAAACATTACTGTAACTATCTTAGAAGAAAATGGTATCCCTGGAGTATTGTCAAGAGAGAGCAGACAACAGGATCTTCAAAAGGAGGCTGATACCAGTGTCACAACTGCTACAAAGGACAACCTCCTCAGGATGCATATACCATAGTCATCAGCTCGGATGGTAGCTGAACTGATCCTGGTGACCACCGAAGCTGCCAGTGAATGGGTCCGTGAAACAGGGCATCAGGAGTAAGTCAGACTGCCAAGTAGAAAGGGTGATGTCATGACTCTGCAGATCTGAATGGGATTGACATCGTACACCTGGCAGCCTGCATGTGCAATTGTCAGCAATTGTATGTACTCCCGAGACAGATACACACAGACTCCACTCAGGAAATGTGAAGTTTTGTACAAAAGCTGGCCAGAACAACTGCAGGTCACAGTGAAGCATTTAGCCTATTTGGTGCAACGTGACACCCTTTCCTAATGATGAACTGTGCTATCAGTAAAAATGCTGTGGTGAGAGGGCAAAGTATGTAAGTACATCTGAGCAGCAGTACCCATGCATTTGGGGAATGCACACGAAACAAGTTTGAAAAACGCCTATGTGCTGTCCTTAGAGGGATTCAGGATTGTCCAGCTTCTGAATAACCACAGTATGCCTACTCTCAGTGCTGGCTGTCACTCTGACCTTGACTACCTCCCACACCACCTTAAGCTCAAGATCAGAACCATCATCAATGGCCACCATTTCTAGCAAGAATAAACTTCTTCCAAAGTAGCCAGTTCAACCTTTTGCAACTCCATCTCCACATGTGCCCTCCTTTACTGTGTGTGGTCCATCATGGGATGAGAGAAACATGTCCCTAGAGCAAGGAGTCTTGCCACAGTTGCACACAGCAGCTGTTCAACCACTGTCAAGCATAGATTCATGCAGTTGTTGCCATTTACCGAGGAGATGAAAATGGCATACTGCCCTTGCAGCAGCAAGATGTAGATGGCAATGATTAGATGCTGTATATGAGACACTGACTGATTTCAGAAACAGAAAACTAGACCCCTTACAGAAGCCCCATGCCAACACCCCCCCAAAGCAGCAGGATGGGTTTCCCACAGCAAAGAAGCCAGCCTTGTTGCTTTGTCGCAACTGACACAGTGGAATCTGCAATGGGAGGCTGCCTGCACACAAAAACAACTATCACGTGCTGATTCAACAGTGCCCATCTGAAACATGGTTATGCACCTAGGTATTAAGTGGCTCAAATCTGCACTGTCAGATGATCCAGGAATGGGTGGATATGGTGCTAATGAGCACAGAGCCATGAGCCAAGGACTCTGTGGCTGTGGACAGACACCCTCTCCTGTGCCACTGGAGCAGGTGTCTGCTCCCACCTGCTCTTCATCACCCCGACCCTAAACTTACTACCTGTCCCGACAACAAGGCTGTGCCTATGAGTGTTGCCTAATCTGTTTCAGTCAAAATGAGGCAATGAGGCAGTTTATCTTAAACCATTTAAATACTACTGCTTAATATTTGCTAACCCAGCTCATTTTAACTGCAACAAGTTATGACAGGTTTACTTCAAAATGCCAGATAGAAAACTGAGTTACGGCTGATTGACAGACCCGTGCACCATCCTGCTGCCCTGGCTACTCCACTGGTAACCTCTGTCAGGGAGACAAGACAAAGCTTGTGAGATGCTGTAACACCTGAAGCCTCTCCAAGGAGAATCAGCAGAGTTCTATGCCAGGGTCCTTAGGATGCATATCGGTACAATTTCTTCTAAGGGTGACACTAATCTTTAAACTAGACCAGGCCTACTGAATTACTTTAAAAAAAAAGAAAAAAAAGAAGAAAAAAAATAGTTCTCAGAAATTCTGGCCTCTCCTTGGTGCACTGGAGGGGCAGCCTGAAGAAGCCCCCCCAAAAAAGAGAGCCACAAGTGCTAAGGCTATCCAGATGTTGCAATCATGAGTGAGATGTTGATATATAGCTAATCAGATGTCTTGGTGAAAAGAAAAGTGTGAGGACTAACCAAGGTATGGCCCTGATATAGGAACCAGAGGCGCAAAAGAACAAGTTGTGCTAGGGGTGTAGGGGGAATGAATGGTCCTGAAGCTAGTCACACAATGTCTTACATGCGGCGGGTTGCTGATTTCACATGAGAAGAACCACCAATAGATAACCTGGTACGTCAGCTACTGGTACGTTGAGAGATGATGGAGTAGTTCTGACCCATAACCATTCAGGGTATGTGCTCAAGCACTGCCGTGTCTAGGGGGGTTTGGCATGTACAGTACACCGTTATGATGGTTCTAGTATATGTAGTGTAGTTGTTCCTTAGATCACTGACTTATTGGTTCCCTGAAAGTAGAAATGTGGTTAGGGAGGTATGCCTGTCTACATATTGATGGATATAATACGTACATTAAATGTATTACCTAGATTAATGTAATGTATGTGGGGTAAATAGATTAATGTACAATTATACATAGAGACCTTCATTCTTCTTCGGATAAAAATTTGTCTAGTGACATTACTCGTCAGAATGCAGCTACTGTAAAACATCCTCAACTATTTCTGAGAAAATGTCAATTCCTTCTACATCTATGACTTCTAATATACAGGCCATAGGGCTTTTTGTATCATAGTAAGTTTATCTGATCAATGCTGAACACAGAAAAAAATGCAAATCATTTTCTAGCTTTGTTGTTTTATAAAGTAATGCAGAGCATGGGAAAAAATTGTAAACTGCCTTTTAGACAAAGAAAGGGTGGGGTACAATATATGCTCCTGCTTCCCCATTATATAACCAATCCCCATTCTTAAGTGCACAAATAAAATAAGAGTAAATTGAAATAAATCAAATAAATTACATTGCATAGTTTCAAGCCCTACATTATGTCTTGGCTGTAATAATATACATTATCATTAATGGCTTTCACTTTACAGTGCTGAAAGTCAGATTTGTTGTTGTCATCTTCATTCCTTGACCTTTACTATCTGCATTGCTCACATGAAAGTATTAGTCTGCTGTCACACTTCAAGAAACCGTGTAATAAGGTCAACTATGCATCACTTTAAGTCATCGAAGGCTATTTTAGCATATTTGCTTTATGACAAATGTGTAAGATCACTGCAATTATCTACAATGGTAGTTAGACTTCATGCTATATACAATTCAGATTTCAATTATTTTAGAAAATACTAGTGCCAGAGGACTAGTGTAACATTTTATCACCATGAATTCAATATCCATTTAACTGAGATGCAACAAAGGATAATTTCAAGTTCTGAAATGAATACCTATATTCTGGAGAAACATAGAAATGAAAAAATATTATTATGTACCCTCCAATTAAAATAGCTTGTCTGCTTTTCATTCTTGATGTACATTAGGATTTGCAGGGTTTGGGGGAGTGATAGAGGTTAGGTTCCATATAAGAGTTCAGAATTGAGAAAATAGTTTTACTGCTGAACATTTAAATCCCTACAGAGAGAGATTTGTGAGATACTGCAGTATATCAAAGAAATCTGCATTAAGAGTATGTTGCTTCTTGTATTAAGGAAGCTGGCAGGAAAAAAATGGTCTGTTCAGCAGCCATCACCATAAAATGATATAAATGCAACTACATTACCAAGGGACCTCAATTTGCCAATTGAAGAGGGCAACTACATTTTCTGCTTACAATATATAAAATATCCTAAGCACTTACTTGAGTCTTCTCAGTTTTTTGAGCTGTAATGGTTATTCCTTATATTGAGGATGCTTTTATTCTGTGGCTTTGCTGAGCTTCGCCATATCCTCTTTGACAGCAGTGAAAAGGAAAATGAAGGTACATTTGCAGTCGCAGTGAACCAGTGGAAAAGCCTCCATAGGAGCCATCAAGCAAGCGGCTGGCCATTTACATAATCAGAAGAAGTTCAGTGACATATAGCTAGTTGGTATCTCTGCTTTGCAAGTCAGAGTGCACAGCAGCTTCAGCTCTTGCTACTACTCCTAAATAAAACGGTCAGGCTGAACCAGCACTTCACCAAATTTGATCTGAACCATGGGATTAATTACTCCATCTTTTATTACCCAATTGCTGACCCAGACAGCTCCTATTTCTACCTCATGCATTTCAAAATCATGAGCACATTGTGGATGCCACTGGATCACAAATTATCATCAGCAACATAGGCAAAGGTCAGAAACCATTTGGTTGAAAGAATAACTTATGGAAAAAATGACTTCTTAAAACACATTGCATGGGGTTTTTTCCCCTTCTCTGATCTTGAAGATCTGATAAGGTTAAACATTGCTTCACTGTGAAAGGATTGCCTAGTTATTTATATTTTATAGCAGCTGGAGCTATTAACCACTAGAAATGGTATTCTAAGATTACCTATGCAGGTATACATCACAGAGGCAGAGAAAGCACAGAATTCCTCTGCTGTGAAGCTATAGTGAAAAGAGAAACTCAAACAGTTTATTCAGTTCCTACATCCATGTAAGATTTTGTCAAAGCAGAGAAAGTTCAGAAAAGAGCAACATGATTAAGTGCTAATTTACTAAGAAAGATTTTAAAAGTCTAGTCTGGCTCAGAAACAGTGTAACAGACATAACAGCAGTCTGAGTATACTGGGTGGAATATATATTATTTAGGGTTTATAGGATAAAATTAACAAAGAGAATACATAGAATTGATATCAGGAAAGGAAACAGGGAAAGACCAACCCATTGCTGTGTGGGCATTTTAGGAACTGAATCACTGGCACTTTCATGCCACTCCCAGTAACAGAACAGTGTATAGAGCCCTTAGGAGCATTCTGCAGAAAGCCTGAAACACTCTGCTGTGGAGAGCAGCCAGTTCAATGGCAGGGAACAGCAACTGCTTTTCTGCCTCTGATTTTTATGCCTGATAATTTTCTTTACAGTTCTGCTGTGGGAAGAACTCTTGGTAATAAAAGGTATTTTGTATAAAACATAAATTCCTATAAAATAAATTATAGGCTTTGTAATAAAACAGAAAAGGCAATTATATTCTTCCCTGGAAATAATTAATTCAGCTTTCTGCAGTGAAAAGTTTTGAAAGCACATAAAGCACACTTTTTTACAGAAAATGTAGGTTTTCTCTGAAGAAATGGGAACTATTACACATTTATGAATGTTCATACTGTTGTCATTATTTATTTTTGTTTTCATAATGATGCCTTGTTTTAGGACAGGAAACTACTTCTGTTTCTGTTTTGTGCATTACTTATGCGTAACAGCTGAGCTCCTTCTGCTAAATGAGAAAAAAAAGTTTTTCCAACTGTACTTACTTTTCATTCTCCTTCCCATTGACTTACTGCTTTCATTTTTCAACCCAGTTCACTGAAGGTTTTTCTGCAGCCTGCTTGTTAATTTTGAAACTGCAGTTTTCCCAGCAAACATGTCTCTCTCACCCATATGTGTACACTGCTCACTACCTAGTGAATTAGGAAACCAGCATATAATAGGACAGAACCTTCATGAGGATCCTGAGCAATTCTTGTGCATGTCCTATGCCTGAGTCACAGAGAATGATACATACATGATATGGGGCTGATACGGGGTTACTAGTCAGCTGCAGCCACCTGTGCCAGGTCTCGACAAATCCCACTTGCATGCCCAGCCTATGTTTCACAAAAAAGCTGGGAGACTCCTGATGAGCTGTTATTATTCTTCAACCCATGGAAAACAACGTAGAGAGGCAACTATACAGTATTAGCATTATTTATTCATGTCTAGATTCCCCAGCTAAAAACCAGACTGCATTTTGCCAACTATTATGTACACACAGTGGTAAAATAGCATCTGTACAGAGGAGTCTACAAGCAAGGCATAAGAAAAATAGCAAGAGAAGAAGAGGCACATACAGGAGTAACTTGCCTTCATCTGCAGAGCAAAACCAAGAGGACCATAAGCCAGGTCAGTACTCTGGTTACTAGGTTCTCATCTAAAATGCAACTCATTGCCACTATACACTTATTATTTTTTCTTAATATGCTATATTTAAATAGTCTGCTTAATAAAAAGATTTAGAAATGTGTAAAGATTAATTTGCAATTATGTGCATAGCCAAGGCATTATACTTATCGAAAGACCATGATTATATAAGGCCTACATGTCAAAATTTAGATATTTAGTTCTAAACATAAACATACATCTTCACATCTTCAAATTCTAGATTACAAGAAGTTTTTATCAGAGGGCTTACCATTCTGTCTACACAAATCTGCTCCCAAATACTCTGAAATATATTTTGCATAGTAAACATAGAATGAATTTCATGCGCATAGATTAATCCAATTTCATATTATTTTACCCTATAAAATATCAAAACACATTCTTTATTTCCCTAGGGAATACTATAAAAATTCTGCACACAGCAGCCCGGTTCATCTCCATCAGACATCAACTGATTCAGTCAGAAAACAAGCGATAGTATTTCATGTGTTTCAGCTAGCACAATTCAACTGGAGTAAATACAATACAATTTTGGTCTGACAACACTGGTCTCAGTCCAGCAGAAGATATGTGTACTCTTCCAGGCCATTTAAGCACCAGGAGGCTGTCTATGTCCTGAGGGAAATGTCTCTTCCAGACCAGTCCATGATCTGTTTAAGAGGGCAAGATACAGTGCTGTGACTGAAAAGGGCCGTCCCACCCTTTTCTTACCACCAGCCTGCTCAGTTTCATGACAACATGTATCCCTTGGGCTGCGGTAAGCATTTGTGTAGCTGTACTCAAGACTAGCTGGGAACTGGTGTCAGTTCAAAAAACACCAGCACAATGAAAAAGGGTTGGATCCCCAGCCCTGTTCATTGCACGGCTGCTTGAATATTTGTGCTGGCATAAGGCAAGGTCATCATGGCAGTAAGAACAAGAAGCTGCATGAGATGAGGAAAGGGTGGAACTATCCCTTTTAGTGGACGTTCTTTCTAACAAGACTGCAATAGGTCATCCATAGTTTAAACATATTTTCAGTCTTGGCTTATTTAGAGAATTGCCTCAAAATGTGTTTATTTTTTTAAAGATAGCTTTTACTTTGTCTATGGATCTACTACTTCAGGTTATTTGTTCCTCAGGGAACTCTGACAATCCCAAATCATGAATCCATTCATAAGTGTGCTCAGAATTTATTGGCTAAAATTTATTTAAGGCACATGCCTTATGATAAGGTGCTTGCCTACCAGCCACATGGGAAGAGTAGTCCCAAACTGTAGGGCTTCTCAGACTTCATGACTTCATTTTTTCAGAATGTCTTACATGAAAAGCCTCATGGTACATGTTGGTCAGAGCGTTCTCCATGAAGGAGGCAGCTCTTCTGTCTCCAGGACTTTGTATTCATTCTATGTACCCCAAGCTGCAATTGGTCTGGGCACCCTACTCAAGGCGTTTTTGTAATGCTGCATGAAGAGCTCTATGATTGATACTTTCAGGGATGTTTCACTCTTGGTAATAGAGCAGTTTCTCAGTTTATCAAGAGTATTTCAAACTTACTTGCACTTTCAGACATCAGGCTCATTTGGGCTAGAAAAGTGGAAATGTGAACAATGTGTTTTCTATGTAATAAAAATTCCTGTAGAGTACATTGGAAGCAACTCTAGCCTCCAGCACTACTAGGTGTGTCTTGTCCTGATGCTGCCGTTTCTCCTGGCTGCCTGCTCTGAGCTATTCAGCCTTCCAGAGCTCCCAGTTCTGACTTCCAGGACTGCCAGATCTCCTTTAAAGCTCTCCCATCTCCTGGCTACTGGCTGTTACTCTTCATAAACTTGAATTGGCTTTGCTTCTCTTCAGGTTATAATTACACTCCAGACCTCCTTTGTTTCACCAGGAGACTGCAGAGGAAATCAGATCTCTTTAAGGCTTGGAATATTGTAGGAAGCATGTGAAGTCCCATGCTATTTATGATGACTGGAATAAAGCTTAGAATAGCAACTTATAATTCATTGTAAAAATGTGTTGTCCTTTTGTGGTGGGTTGACCTTGGCTGTCCGTCAGGTGCCACCAAGTTGCTCTCTCAGTCCCCCTTTCTCAGCAGGACAGGGAGAGGAAATAAGGTGAAAAACTCATGGGTTGAGATAAAGGCAGCTTAATGAAGAAAAGCAAAGGCCACACAGAAGGAAAGAAAAGCAAAAAGATTTATTCTCTACTTCCTATCAGCAGGCGATATCCAGCCACCTCCTGCGAAGTAGGGCCTCAGTACACGCAACGGTTGCTTCAGACGCCTTAATAACAAATGCCCCATCTCCCCTCCTCCTCCTTTCTTTTAGCTTTTATTGCTGAGCACGACCTCATATGGTATGGAACATCCCTTTGGTCAGTTTGGGTCAGCTGTCCTGGCTATGTCCCTTCCCAACCTCTTGCTGTCCTCCAGCCTACTGGTCTTTGGAGTAGGGTTGGAGAGACAGCCCTGATGCTGTGGGAGCAGTGCTCAGCAGTAGACAAAACATTGGTGTCTAGCTAGAACTACAAAGCACAGCACTGTGAGGGCTGCTATGGGGAGAGGTAACTCCACCCCAGCCAGACCCAATGCACCTTTGTTGCTGTATACATTTGAGAGCCAATTCTGATTTTATCAAATGTCAGCTGTTCAATCTGCTGAAATTGCTTAATTCTACGGACAGATTGCAAATATGTATTTTAACTATGGGCAAGGAAAGTTGTTGGGCTTTGGGTTTAGATTCAATATGTGGGTAATCTGTTCTCTGATTGGCTTGACATGCACGTACTTCCAAAACCTTAACATAATGTCTCCATAAACAGTAAGGCAATTCTGTATTCTACTTTCTACTAACTTCCACCAGTGATCAAATGATCGTTTGAAAGGATCTCAAAAACTGGGTATAAGCAGAAACAAATATAGCCAAAATATTGATATAAAAGTTTGAATGCTTATGGAAATCTTTTGCTTTTGTTTTCTCAGTTCTAATGGTCAGTATCACAAGAAATGTTGATATAACTATTGAGTGGACATTTCTGTGTAAAACACCACAAGCTTAAGACAAAGACTGCTTCAGTAGTAAGACTACAAGATCAAAGTTAAAAATGCTTCATTTAGTTGTGATGACAATTCTGTTAATTGAGCAATTTGAAAGGTATGCAACTTTAGCTATTGCAACTGCTTCCTTTGTAATTAGTGACTTTTCAAAGAGCTTGGGTTCTCCCTGCTGATCCTTTCAACTGACCACTGTGTCGGCACCATAACAAGATGAGTGGGAAGCTGGTCTCCTGAGAGCAGACTCACGCCTTATTGGTTAATACAGTCTACTGCTACTATGAACCAGTCAGTTATGCACAACAGAAAGTCCTGAATTTTCTCAGTTGCTGTCTTTTATAGTAAATCAGCTGCAAGCAGACCAGCTTTTTGAGAGAAATATATATTTTCTGATACTCTTAGAAATTATGAATACATTGGGAGCACATATTTTTTGTAATAGATCTGCATCCAGTGTCAAAGTATTGATAGCTTTTAAATCATCTTCCAGACTGCAATTATGAAAAAGAGTGCTATCTTGCCACTGTCACTTCCATTGGGTATATTAAAAAAAAAAAAAAAAGAAAAAGCAGAACAGTAAGAGTGTCTTTGTATTAAACCAGCTGTCTGTGTAGCTTGGATTTTGATTCTGTCTGTCATGTAAATGCTGCCATATTCCTAAATTCCTCAATCAGGACAAAATTCCCATTATCTTCAATGAGGAATTCAAGACTGGAATGCTAAGGGCAGATGATGGATGAACAGTGCCTTTATTGTGTCATTTTTATATCTTATATTTACTAATTCATTCTCCAATGACTGTTTATTATTTATGATAGCACAATTATTTTTTCATAATTTTATTCTATTTCCAGAGGAAAATATAAACTACGGAGGGGAAACATATTATTATTCTTCTGTTTTCAGAAAAGACTAGCAGAGAAATGGTCTGAGTTATGCAACACCAGCTAGAAAGAAGTTATTTTATTACTATTTGGAATAAATGGCCACTCAAAAGGGCACAGTCTGGAATGTTTTCTCACAATTCTAGCTTGAGCTAGTAGGACAATGTTTGGCAGAGCTCAGCTGTCTTCATAACAAAATGTCTCCGCACAAACCATGACAATTGCTCATTACAAATTAAAAACAGTAATGGAAAAAGCTACAAATATAAAGAAAGAAGACAGAGAAAATTCTGTTTGGCTTTGAACAAGGTATTAAAGAAGAAAAAATATTTTTTAAGTTTTTTTAAAAAATGAATTCTAAATGGATGCTCTTATTGTAAATTAATATGCAAAAATAAAACTATATTGATTAATCTAGTAGAAAAAAATGCAACACAGTTACACACAGGAATAATAAAGATATTGATGCTAT